TGGAAGTGTTGGAGCGGGTCCAGAGGAGGGCTACAAAAATGATCTGAGGGCTGGAGCACCTCTCCTATGAGGACAGGCTGAGAGAGTTGGGGTTGTTCAGCCTGTAAAAAAGAAGGCTGCGGGAAGACCTGATTGCGGCCTTCCAGTACCTAAAGGGGGCCCATAGGAAAGATGGGGAAAATCTTTTTAGTAGGGCCAGCTGTGTCAGGACAAGGGGTAATGGTTTTAAACTAAACCAGGGTAGGTTTAGACTGGATATAAGGAAGAAATTCTTTACAATGAGGGTGGTAAAACACTGGAACAGGTTTCCCAGAGAGGTAGTGGAGGCCCCATCCCTAGAAACATTCAAGGCCAGGTTGGACGTGGCTCTGAGCAACCTGATCTGGTTAAAGGTGTCCCTGCTCCCTGCAGGGGGGTTGGACTAGATAACCTCTAAAGATCCCTTCCCACCCAAAACATTCTATGATTCTGATTTTCATGTTTTACCCACAATATTAGATACTACTTTTAATAGATAATGCAATTCTGAAAAACACTGCACCTGACATTAGAAGCTGTCCAATTTAATTCTTGCATTTCTGTGAAATCTGAATGTCCCAGTCTGTCTGCAGTCATGCCAGAGGTGAGTTTGCCTCCAAACAAACCTTTTGCACTTCCTCATTCTGTTGGTTCCTGTTAAGTGCATTTGAAGTGATGCCTGCTATATTAATGCAGATCTAGAACTGTCACAGTAATACAGGCAAGAAACATTTTACAATTAGATGAATTAGAAATGTTTAAAATAAAAGTAACATAAAAAGCGCTATTTTGGCTTTGTATGAGCGGACTTGGATGACTGTTTTCTGACAGAACAGATTAATGGAGATAGTCTATGTTCTCTCAGTTAGTTTACAATATAGATTTGTAAGTAACGTACACTAATTTCATAGGTGTTAGAAATTATTAAGATCCAATATTATAGTTAAAGCCCCGGGAACCCTGGCAATGTGCCAGGACACTATTGTGCTAGGTACTATTACAAAAAAAGGCAAATTTTACCCCAAAATTACTAAAGAGAGACAGAAACAGACAATGGAGTATTATGGAGTATAAGAAAAGATTACACACATATTAACAAGTCTGATCAGTTGGGTCTTGATTTGTTAAAGAACTATTTTTTAAAAAGTTACATTAATAATCTGCATACAGCATAACTTACTACTGCGATGCCATCTAAGGCTTTGAGAGAGGGAAGATGGAATAATACAAATAGTCGGTAGTGATCTTGCTTCTGACTACTCAATTTCTACTCATTGTCCAAAATTATCAGATTAGTTAAACCCTAAGTAGAAAAAAGCGTGCGTTTATTAATATACCTTTAAAACATCCGTATATAGGTGCATTCAGACTACTTTGTTTTCAGCTCTTTCTCCAGCTGTCATCTGCATGACTCAACTCTGAGAAATCACTTAACAAAATCCAGGTATCTTCATTTAGATTAATGGCACTTTTCAACACTCAAGGCACAAAGAAAGCCCTTAAAGCAAGTGAAAACTATACCAACATTGCCTTAAAAGCCCTTGTGCTCTCACAGAGTTTCACAGAGTCTGAACACAAATAAGGATCAGGGCCTCAGTCTCCAATTAGTGTCTGAATCCAGCCCGCAAAGTTTATAATACCTACATTAACATTCCAGGTAAGCTGAAAAGAACTGCAGCTGCTGCAGGTGTATTTGTTGGTTATTTGACATGAGTTGCAGAATTGTAAATGGATTGTAAACCTTGATTTAGTCTACCTGGTATAAGTGACATTTATCTCTGCAGAACATTTTGAGCCCAATCCACCCGGAGGGTTCAGTACCTCCTTCTCAGGAGTGAGTATGAATCAAAAAATGTTGGTCTGGGGTTCCTATCAGTTTGGGTTCCACTGCGAAGATGGATGAATGCAGCACCCACAGGCAGCACCTCCTGTTATGTTGAAATATAGCTTCCTCTAGACTTGAACAAGTGGGGAAACACTGTATTTCTAATGTAACAAAACCCAAATTAGTTTTGAAATAGTAAATCTTTACCTTTAAATAACATATCTCTTGGTATAAACAAAGTTATTACTTATGTATAGCTCTGTTAGGGAGTAAATTTTTCTTAACCCAACTAAGATGTGATTCTGTTGTTCTCAATAGAAATGTAATGAGGATAAGACAGATTTTCAAACACATGTCATTTGAGGCTGATAAGATGGTTATTATTTACACAATGTCATGTAAGTTTGGTGAGCTTTGAAATTCCTTGAAAAATAAACAAGACGCACTTACTATAAAGTGAGCTGTAAGAGAAAAAGGTGGCTGATACAGAAGGTAAAACAAGTTACAGGTGACACAATTTGTGTTACTGGGTCCAACTGTAACTAGATCAATGATGATTAGATCAATTAGGTCATTAAACATAGATAAATACGTGTACTTTAACAAGAAATACTTATTTTGCTGGAACATAACTGTTCTGCCTCACTCTCTTCAGTTCTGCTAAAGATACACTCAGATTTTTTAATATTCGAAAACCTCACTCTGTTGGCAGCCAGTAAAAATTCCCCCTCTATGATATTTCACTATAAAGAAACATTTCTACTGTGCCCCAGCTTAACAGCCCGCATTATCACTACCATGGTAAATATAGTACCATCTAGTGTTGAAATGTAGTTTTCAGCTAAAATGAGTTCTTCCAGGTTAGGACAAAACTCCCTTCTATTTGTTTGAGATTGTTGTTGCTAAGCGGTGCCCATGTTAAATGCTTTGATTTTTCCAAATTGGAAATTTTGGAGAGTTTTGGTCATCCAGATTTATGGCAGTGGTCTGTAATAAAACGCAGTATTAGAATTGAAAGAAACTGACCAGTCAATTAATCTGTAAATTAATTCCACCTATTTATTCTGTGCTCAGTTGCTACGTGTACATTTCCTACTAATATCAATGGCAACTTCTTTGAGGCAGGATGCGATATTGCCCCATTATGCAAAGCTACTCATCTTTAATACATTTCAAAAAAGTTCAGCTTCTCCAAAACCAAGAACTCTACAACATAAACATGCCAACTCCCAAATGTACCTTTGCAGTTGAAGCTGTCTGAACATAGACATTTTTTTCTTGCCTGCATTAGATCTTAGATAGTTGTGTTCAGTTGAAATCCTTCTGCAATACATGATTATTTTATTGACTAGTCTGCTTTACACACTCTCATCTGCAACAGGACTTGAATGGAAATGAGATTTCAGCCTAACACCAAGGCTGGGTATTTAGTCTAGAAGAGGCTGAGTGCAAAGTCAGAGCAGAATTTATCCTAGCTTTATAGTTCTTCATGCTTTTTATGTACAAACTAAGTACTTTTCTCTCTATATCATAGATTGGCAAATTCAGTCATTTGCTTGTTTGAAATATTCTTGAACAGAAACAAATAAATGCTGATACCAAACATATATTTTGCTGCCCAGGCTGTGAAATTACTTTTTTACACAGGTTCTTACTGTAGACACCTGGCAACAAGCTTCCTGTAAAGTCAAGGCTGTCAGTGATCCAATCTATAACCTGTTTGCATATTCATAGTTTGCATGACTACGACTCCCCCTTTCTGATAATACTACAGTATGTTAGCCGATCATTGTGCAATGGAGAAAACAAAAGATCACAAAGTCCCAATAAAAAAATTCAAATTATACTGTAGGGGCCCAAAATATCCAGTATTATATCTAGGTTGTATCTGAGACAAATAATCACTTAAATATTCAGTAACATTAGATTGGCTTTGGTGATGACTAAAGAATATTTTTTGGCTATATTATTTTATTTTCCAAAGTATTTATTGGACCCTTTACGAATCCCTTCTCTCTGATGTCACAAAACATATATGTCATATGCTAAAGCATTAATTTTCCTGGCAATTTTTCTAAACATGAAATCCCTAATGCACACAGAATGAAACGCTACGCTCATCGGCAGAAATGTGTTTTTCTCTCGCTATCCTATAGTCTAATAACAAATTGAACTGACAGAGAAGCTTTTAACCTTTCACACCAGGTAGATTAACATGATTTCAGCTGATGGATCGGAACAGGTTAGGATGACCTTGGATCTTCCTTCACTGACTTTCAAAGCTTTTTGCTAGCTCAGTTTCCTGAGGAAATAAAGCTAATGGGATTGTGCTATCTGTATATCCATCTGCTAGCCTTACCACTAATTTTTAAACCTACCAGTGAGTTTTGGCCCAATTTGTCAGACAAGCACTACTCAACTTCCTAAAAATTCCATGAAAATGAGCAGCTGAATGAGAGTTATAAATGGAAAATCCCAGTGAAGGAAAGGCTGCAACATTAGCTCAGCTAAGATGCTAGACACTAGGGGATCCAGGAGACACTTGTTCTGAATGACCTAAGAAACTCTGAGAGCTCACACCTGATTAAGCACGGATAACCCAAAGACAAGGCTCTTTCTAAAGGCAAACCAATTCCTTTCAGTCCTGCTGCTCATCAAGTGACTGCTTAATTAGTTTATAATTTTAGGTAGTCTTTCAAGGTGAGAGTTAATGTTCAAAGGGTTATTCTCAATGTTTGCTGGTTTGAAGTGAGACTTACTAGCTCTCTTCTTCCAATCTGTTCTTCATGTTGGTATTTAGTAGAACTCTCTGAAATTTTAATCCTGCCCAATCACAAGATATGGATTAGTATAGAGAATTCAATATGCATGTGGCAAAGCTCATTTGGCTTTAGACATGAAATATGCCTAAGCCTCTAAATTTTATGGCACGATATATTTGAAGGGTCAGTATTAGAAAACTGTGTTTCTAGATGCATTAGAGAATTTACGTTTACAGAATTTACTAGGAGAGCTAAGGTTTCAACATGGTTCAACATTACACTTTTGTGATATCAGAAAAAAATGGGTTCAAAATTGGCAGAATAAATAAGCTAAGCATAGCTACTGAATTTTCTAATGAAAAAGTCTCAGAGCCAATGTCTACTATCAGGGAGAGACTGCAAAGGAGCTGGCTGCAATTTCCTGAATCAGTCGGGTTCTGTCGTTATCCTTGCCACCAGGGTCCTTGACTCTTTAAAAAATTGCTCAATATTCTTGAAGCTTCACTGACACTCTCCTTTGAAATACTTCCATATCATTTGGAATTCCTGGAATCCTTAAATGAAGCAAGTACATTAAGGACTTTGCCTTGCCTTAGGAGGCAATTCTTTAAAAAAACAAGCAAGTGTATCTCATAAGCACGTCCTTTATATAGCCTTGGTGTTTTAAAAAGGTCAGTTTTCATATGCCAAAAGCAGTCGTGAGCAAAATGAGTGACACAAAACCTTAAGCTAAAAAATGTGGAGGCTAGTTAGGAGAGGTTTAAAGGTGAAGAAGGTTAAACACTAAACACTTCATCATTACACACTTCTTTATTTACAGTTAAAAAAATCTTTACCCTTTTAATTTTACAGACTAAAGCACAAGCCTTACTGGATCAGGCCATGACCTTTCTATTCCACTACAGCAGAAGTGAATGAAAAATAGGAAAAATTATAGCAGTGAGAATAAAACAGCTGTTATAAACACGGCTTACTGAAAATGAACGCTAAAACCGTAAATGAAAATCTGATGGCCATTATAATCAGAGACCACAATCAGGACCTAACAGAAGTCAAGCAATGCTATAGGCTTGATCTTATCTAAAGACTTTAAAATAGTCAATCAGAATACAGAAGAGAACGATAGTTTCAATGCATATTTTTCTCTGCCTTTGGGAAGAACCATGATGAGATGCTCATAATTTACATGGATAAAAAAATGCTTTGTATTTTGTTAATAACTAAGAAGAATCCAAAACTGGTACTACTCATGTTAACATTTTTAAAGTAGGCATTTTCCAATCTAGGCTATTAATGAACCAGTTGAAGAACTTTCTGAGCCACTTATCAATTCATTTTATACAAATGATAATATGCTTGAGAAGTTCTAGAAGGTTATGAACAAACTGAAATTATAATAGCATTGAGGATAAATGGATGACCAGAACAGGTCAGTAAGCTTGATATCATCCTTAGGTATTACAGAAAGGCTGATATGCAACACAGTAAATAAATAAAAGTTAATGGCCTTATTAATAGATGCCAGTATGCTGTGCAGGAAATAAAAATTAATATTAAATTGCTTTTGATGAAAATTTAAATGTATTGATAAGATTAGTATCTTCTGTCTGAGAATGTAATAAAAAAATAATTATATCCAAAAGTGAAGGTAACTCTTGTTAAATAGACAAAAGCTGGCTAGAGGATGGATCTCAAAATCTGACTATAGAAAGAAAATAATCACTTTACAGAGCATTTTTATTGATGTTCTGCTTGAAATTCTTTTTCTCAATGACCTAGCAAAAAAAAGCAGGAGTTCCTTCCTGGTGATTTAGGAGATGCGATAAAGATGTTCGTAAGGTCAGCTATAACAACAGTTTTATAATCACTAACATGGTGGCCCTATTTAAATAGCACGTTTCTGCATAGAAGAAGTTGGAAATTATGTAGCTAGGAACACAGAAATTCACACTGACGTGATGAAAGCCAGTATCTCAGGAACACTGAAAAGGACTAGAACTAATGATAAAAAAACCAGATGAATATGAGCTTGCACTGTTGCCACATGCGAGTTAATATTTAATTGGGTTAAGCAAGTGGAATTATTTCTGGGTATGTCATTATCAGTCCAGTGCTGGAAGTTTCTGTATAGTTTTGCAGGAGGCCATACATAAAAGCCATGTGGACATAATGAAACATGTTCAGAAAGGAATTAGAATAAGGTCATGAGAAATAAACAGTTTATAATGAGATGATTAAGAAGTTCAATCTAACTTAGTTTGTTTAAGATAAGATAAAGTGGGATGATTTTGGCTAAATAAAGAAAAGACTTCTGGTCCTTTAGATCTGATTCTGATCCTTTAGAACACCAGAAAGAGACAAAATGAGACCCAGCGGATTAAATTTGTTAGTAGCCAAATTTGTATTAGAAACGAGATAGACATGATAGAGACATAGGAGAGGTAGATTCACTGTTACTTGAAATCTTTAAAGAGACCCTAAGAGTGGGTTTCATACCAGCAAAACAGTATCAGCAACAGAGATAACCCTGTCTGTGGTGGCTCGTTGGGCTCCCTGGTAGGATGAAACTCCCTTCAACCTACAGTAACCCTCTAAACTGTTAGGTGACTTATGTCCCTAAACTATTTTTATTTCTGCACTGTCTATAAAAGGAATGTAGGGTGACTATTTCAAATGTGGTCATCTACACTGTAGATAAGCAAATTTAGGTGAAATTAATCCTAATCTGAATGGTTTACTGTAAAATCTCCTGTAGCTCCAAAAGATGGTATGAAATTGATGTAGAAATTCCCACTTAATGCTTTCTTGCCCACTTTATGCATAAAGTCAGTCTAGAGAATCTTATCCGTACCCCTTGGTCTTAAAAAACTCTTAATGTTAAAAAGACATTTGCACTGTAAAATAAGTAATTTAAACGCCCTCTTCGGGATATCCTGGACCTCCTGCAAGGCATCTGGAAATGGCCATTGTCAGAGCTCAGGGACAAGGTAACTACTGGTTAGACTTGAATTTGTTCAGAAATATTTTTTAACCAAAAAGCATAAAACCTTTAACCTAAGACAATAAAAGATAATTTTTATAGAGATTAATCTAAATGTTAACCTAAATACATTACACAGCATCAGCCCTACCACTGAATACCAGTTACTACAATGCATCTGTGAATCCACCTTGTTCTTGAAATTTGAGGCAGAATTTTAGTGCAAGGAAATACACTGAGAATGGGAGGGTTTTTTCATCAGTCCTAGAATATTCTAACAGAGACACATGAGGAAAGAAAAAAGAAAACACTGCATTAAGTATATAATATAACTAGATATACTATACATATTTCACAGCTTAGCATATAGTAAATGGCATAAAAATCCTGCTATTCTTGGACGAGGAAGGAGATATATTAGTGGACATAATAATTTATAGATCTAATAAGTTCAATAGTTTTCAAGACTTCAAAACCATAGGTTTTGCACGTACCAAGGTTTTTGAGTTTTCAGTACATAAAATAGAGAAGGCAGACCTCATTAAAATGCTCTGTATCAACGATAGTCTGTTTTCTGTGAACATATTTACCATTTTTTTTCCAGAAAGACATGATCTTACTCAGCATGTGAGCAGACATAGTTTCATTGTGACTGTACTGTGACCATATAAAAGTTGTGTTAGCATGATACTGAGTTCCAACCTATTCAGCCCATTGAGTGAGTTCACTTAGAATCAGTTTAGGATTCTGGAGTGCTTTGGGATATAGTCCAGAACTTAAGTAGCACAAGTTTGTGCTCAGGGGTTGGGAAGGATTGCTTCATATCTGCATATAAAATACTCTGAAAAATTACCTACTGAAAAGTTCTTAAGAGAAGGGATTTGGCACTAGATACTTAAAAAAGCATGTAGATCTATTGGTTTATCCTGTTGTTTCCCCCTCCGTTGTTTCTATTTGACAAACATAGTTACTTTCTTGCATTCTGAATTCAGCAGAACTAGAACATGAGTGTTTCCAAGGTCATGGTAGAATATAATTTTTGGTACCAGCAAAGATCTTTGTAAGAAAGATTGGTGTTTATTAAATAATTTCTGACCTACTGCCAGAGGCAAGGACAAAACTTCTACCTTCAAAAAATCCAGAAAACGACACGTTCTTTAAAAAAACAGGTGCAGAACTATTCCTAAAGCTTTCCTTTTCCATAGCACTCACTATAAGTTACAACAAACCAGAACATTAAACCCGTGTCATCTTTGATCCTGCAACATATTGTAATGCTTTTGCAGCTTCTTTATTAGAAATTAGGATTCCATCTAGGTTAATGAGAGCCTTTAATTGGCCAGTGACACTCAGCTGCAATGAGGTAGGCTTGAAGAAAGGAATAGTGTGTTACAATTTTTTTTAAATTGCCAATATAGTTTACACATAAGAAAGAGACTTGCATTTCCTTTCTGTTTAGTGTACTGTCATCTCACGGATGTCAAGAGCTAGAGCTTTGCTATGATCTTCAACAGAGCTGCTGTGTCATCCCTGCTTACGTAGTTTGCTAGAAACACATGAGACAAGGTACCTTTGGGCCTTTTGATTGTCCTGATTTTATGTGACATTGATTGTGGTAAACTGCTCTGGAGTTGCACAGGCTAACTTAGAAGTTTACTAATCTTACGAAGCTCACTAATGTATAAGATGTATTACTATTTGTTTTTATAAGCTAGGAGTTTCATTTAAGACCTAGACTTATTAGAAAAAACAAAGAAAGCTTCATAGGACACGTGAGAAATGTTTAAAGGATGTTTAAGTGTCACTGAAACCTCAAGACATCACCACAAACCTCTCCTATACATACAGAATATGTTAGACTGCCCACTAGTTTAAAATACAATACATGAAATACACACTTCTCACATAATGAATAAATGATGTCTTTGCTGTGAATGGAATATAGATAGATTTTGACAGCCAAATAAGCCAAATACAATCACTTATGAGCTAGATGGTGGAACATCTTCTGAGAGGCAGTAAGGATTTTCTGCTTTGCTCTGAACTAAACTAACTAGACATTGTGGTTGGATGCCTAAGAAACTCTGGAGAGGCACAGGTTTAGTGATGTGCACTACTCAAGAGTTACCATGTTGACACACAGAGCTGATGGCAAAGAGCACAGCAAAATTAAAAGTTTAATCTGATAAAAACCCAAGTAATAACAACAAAGAACCAGAGACCGGAACTGGTAGCTCTTAATATCTTATATCTTAGCATGTATTGAAAAGATTCACTGAAGCTTAATTGACAGGCCAAATAGACAAGGCAGCATGTTTTTGGATACTTTCTGGGTGCCTCAATGGAGTTCTGTTTCCTGTGTTGGTTTGTTGTTCAAATTATTTAATAGAGGTATTCTATTCAGATAGTGCTCTGTTTGCCTGACTTTGACTAGTACAAAATATTAAATATAGTGTTAAATGATTATTAAAAAATCTTTTTTAAGAGTCTTTCAATGCCTCAAATTTGTAAGGTTTAACTCCGCTGATTCTGACTGAGCCCTTTAAACATTGTTAAAATGTACTGTTTCAAAAGGAATAAAGAACAGAGAGAAACATTTGTTCCAGAAGCTGGTTGGGCAATAGGAATGAATGAGAGTCAGTGAAAGGGCTGAGTATTGGCTTTCTCGCCAAAGCTCCAGCCAACACAGCTGTGCTGCCGCAGACAGATACATGCAGTATATGCACATCCCCAAGGCTAAGAACTATCTCTGCTCCTACCCCTTATTCAGCGCAGCTGAGACAGCAAAATTAAAGCCAGGGCTTGGTTTTCGATATCTGGCACAGGCCACCAACAAATTTAATTCTCAAGGGAAGCAAAAAAGAAAGGAATTATGCCTCAGAGATGTCTCTCAGCAAAAACGCCACACAGCTTATTCACTTGGTTAGGCTGTGACTACTAAAAGAAGTGAAGGCCCTGTGAGAACAAAGATGCCATAGCATGATCTTAAGGCTTCTTACATTGCAAGGGCCTTAGGTGCAGGACCAGATTTTAAGCCTTTATAACTGTGGTCATGGTTAGAATGCTTTCCCAGGAATTTCAAGTGCTGATACGTACCTTATGCCATGGGTTGTGTGTGATGTCAAGACTGAGTAAGTTGCGAATGTGTCTATGTAAGATGTATATATCTTCCCTTGACTTTTTCAGCTGGTTCCAGCTCAGGTTGAAGAACTGCAGTTTGCTTAAGCCTCTAATGCCTTCAAGAGTGACCACATCATTATGGTGTGCATCAAAATATTCCCGGTTGGGCTGCAAGAAAATAGTTGCATGGCCAAATGTGTCGCAAAAGAAACTTTGGTTAAAGTAATCAGACACATTTAATCTTTAAATAGACTTAATTGGATCCAGTACCTGGGACTCCCCTTGCTCTGTATTGGGTCTGTTGAGGGAGACCTAGTGTGCTCTAGATACGTTGCTCTATTTGTTAAAATGAAATGACCATTATAAAGGTCAGATGGGTGATAAAGTGATAACACTGTAATATCGCGATTTAAATTGGAGATAATATCAACAGGCACCAAAACTGTGGGCTGCTAAAAGTATCAAAGTATTCATGATCCTAGTTTAGTCCCTCTGTGTGTATCCTGGCCCAATCCTGTCTTGTGAGCATACCCCATGATGCAAGAACAGAATGAATCAAGGAAAAACTTGTTCAGAATACCAACTGAGAAGAAAATACTTTTTTTTTTCCAAAACTTCACATCTCACAATTTAAATCAAACTAAAGATCGTTTGCTCCTGCAAGATCCCATGAAAAAAAGGTCCTTTGCACAGTCAATACTATAAGTTTTACTTTGGATGTTACCCCAGAAAAAGTAGTTCTTAGTGATAGAGGACTTAGTTGAAACTTAGAGGATTTTTGCTTTCTTTACTATGCTTTTTACAAATACGAAGTAAGAACCTCATCCAAATCTCAGTACAATGAGTGCAAATTTTCTCAGTGGCTTGCACAGAAGTTTTATCTGGCTCCGACAGAATGGGCAGAAGAGAATCCACCTTAAACCTAGGCTTGTCAGGTTGCTTTAGTAGAACAGAATTTAATTTTACCTACTTGCTTTTTTTTCTCTTGATCTGTGAAATCCAAAGCTTGCCTTCTAATATCACAGTAGAAAAAACAAAGTTCATACCAGTGTAACGTACTCAAACTTAGCCATGTATTCTGGCAAGACCAGTTCATGGTCAAACAAAAACTGCTCACAATGCCAATGGGTACAGTCACAATTTCTCTGTTCCAAGGAAGCCCCCACAATTCTAAAGTGGAGGAAAGAGGGTAAATATATTATTGTTTTTTAGCTAAGTTTGATATTAATTTCAGAACGTTAATGAGTCAAAGGTATTTCCTTCCGTGAAGATGCATCAGCTTTATTCCTTTCTGCCATTAGACTTTCTTTGCTATACAGACTCACTCAGGCTAATGAAGGAGTTTAACCTGGTTGCCTAACACTCCATGTAGAATAAGCAATGGTCAGATTCCAGCATGAAGACTGCAGCCTGTCAAAGACCAACCAGCTTAGGTCCTGAGAGCATGGGCAGCTCTCGTGCAGTGCTTTCATTGCTGCACTGTCCAAAACCACCCCATCGTATTATGGTGTAATCACCTTCCAAATTAGCTTTCGTTTCCTCCCTTCTAAGAAACCAGAAACCCCAGTTCCTTTACAAAGGGACAGATGTTGCTTCATGTTAGCATCTGAAAGTTTGGAGGGTATATCAGAGTGAACAGGTACAATTATGACTCAATTCCTACTCCGTTCTCTTGCAAAAAATTGGGTAAAGCAGAATCTATCACTCAAACAATATAGATGACACAGACATTTAATCTCGTTACTTATAACAGTGTATTTCTCTGCAGTACTCATTTTTATTTTTCATAAAGATAAAGGCTCTGGATTTTAAGGGTGAAGATTTCCTCAGTGGTATATGCATACTGCCCTTTGCAACACTCACTCCATCCCACTGTACAAAGAGTGGGTATGAAACTGCACAAAGTAAGCTACTTTTAGTGTGGACTAATGGCTAAATAGCAACGTGGCACAGCTCACTTTCACTCTGTGAATTAAACAAGCACAAATATTTTTTCAAAGAGGGATCTTCTTGCTTGTTATTGCCTTTGAAAGCAGGCACTTGAGCTAAGCAAACACTGTGTTCTGAGGAATGAAACCTCTTGACACAACCCGAAGTCAAAGATGAGTTTAGAATACAAATGCTAATTTAACCTTAACTTTACGCTAACAAGTGCCTACAAATACATACCATTGCCAGAACTAGATGCATCACTTTCTAGGCATTTCCATGGCCTGAATACTGAATTAGCTTCTGGGTAGTTGACTTGATAGACGGGATTCATTGCACAAGCTGGAGCACTGTGGCCAAGGAAAACTTTTGCAATTACTGCTTTCCCTAAACGAGGGAGAAAAGACATTTAATGCTTCTAATTCTAGCTTGGGGGTGCAGACAGGATAATACAACAGTGGTGCTTAATGTAATAACAAGCAGGCTACATCTTGGGCTGGCAAATGAATGCTCTAATATGTATGTAATACATATTAATAAAAAGATGGATTTTTATATATGTAATGATTTTGGTTTTGTTCTTTATGAAACAAATATGCTTTGGCAAAAATGATTATGCTGTGAAAGTTAACATCTGTAGCTGGCTAATATTTAATGTCAGTGAAATCAGAAATACAATTTAATAAACAGTGGAACCTGTGAGGCCAGGTATCCTTTGGATTTGTGTCTTCCAACCTCTTTCTTCCATACTGTAGTAAACCCAGCTTCCCCAAGCTCCCTATGACACCAAGGCCAAGAAAAAGGTAGTATGTGCAGTGGCTAGCCTCACGCTATACATATGCTGACAAACTTGCTAGAAGTCCATGCTGACTGCCCTGTTGACTGATGCTAAATGAACCCTAGAAAATATCTCTTTGTGGGGAAGAGGAGAGGGAGGAGTGGTGTCCTAATTTAGGTTAATCCACATTTCAACAAAAATCATAAATACTTAATTACCTTTAAGACTGCTATACTTTTTTTAAATTCCATTGAAATTTGATCATTCCTAAGCCACTGCAATGACAGAGTCACACTGCACGACTGGTGTTTTTCCTTTCCATGCCCTGTCCTGGACACAGAATCGTGCTCAATGTATTTGTGCCTTTTCTCACTCATCTAGAAAAGATCAGACATTTCTAAAATGAGGACATCTCTCATAGGTGCTTCAAACTCCTGCCTGGGAATTAGTCCCAGTAGCCCAAGCCCTTTGTGGAGCTTCCTAATACACAGAAATGCCACTGGGACAGATTTCAGCAAAGTTTCAGAGCTCCTTTCAAGGCTGCATATGCCATCTCATGGCCATCTACAGTATTTACAAAATGTCCTTTCTGTAACAGCAACTATACAAGCCATCCAGCAAATGTTTCATGAGATCTTTCCAAATTTTGAACTACCATGCTTGAATGACTTCTCAGGATCACTGCTGTTTTTGCCTTCTGCCTTAGCTCATTATTTCAGAAAGTCTGTTCTGGGACATTCACATACGCTTAGACTGTTACAGAGAAGAAAAGCTTTTTTTTTCTGTCATACTGCTCCAAAAATTAAAGCAAGAGCCAAGTATCTTTATTTGACTGAGACCATCCCTTAAAAATGTAGACAAATTTAAGCAGCATGAAAATCTAGCTATGAATTATGATAAGAGATGGTAGGCAGGGAAAGCAAAGAACAGTGAATAAGAAAATAGTTTATGGTATCATTATTCCAACAGAATGAGAGATACAGACAAGAAAATCAGACTGCTAGCCCTGTGGGACAGAGCCCATCGTCCTGTATCCTTATATAGCATTTAACACTACAAAAAGGAATCTCGGTGGGGCCTCTGCAAACTAGCATGATATAAACAATAATAAGGCAAAACAGAACAATAGATACTGTATTTGAAAATACAATCTTGCCACCCAAAAATCTGATCTTTCCTCAGAGCAAAAAGAGAAAGGCAGGTGCACAAAAGGTTGGAAAGAAGAAAAGGAGAGCAATGGGGACTAGAGAAGAGTTGCCCTGAATTAGTTTTCCTACTTTCTATTCTTTTCCTTCATAAGTCAGAATGAAAACTTCCTTACCCGAAAGAGATATTCTAAAGTGGTCTGGACATGGTCCTGCGCAGCCTGCTGTAAGTGGCCCTGCTTGATCAGGTAGGTTGGGCAAGGTGACCTCCAGAAGCCGCTTCCACCCTCAACCATTCTGTGAGTCTGTGAAAATAGTTCTTCTGTTTGTAATTTCTTACTTGGCATGAAATAACATATTCCATCTGCATGGCTATTTTACAGTCTGGAGATGGAAGGGATCACTGGGACAGGACTGACAGTTTCTAGGGTTATGACTGGTCTGACAACTAGGAACCACGCCAGAGGGACCCTATGTTTAGGGCTAGGTACCTGCAGATACCAGAGATAAATGGACTAGGATTAAATCTAGGATTAAGGACAAAGGAGGCAGTGATTTAGAGTGAGGACGAGACTTGCAAGCCAGGACCTGGGATGCTATATTACTAGAACTGAGACTGAAAGAACTGAAAACCCATGCTATGCTGTGTGCTAGCACTGATAGGAAGAAGAAAAATAGTAGCAAAATAATATTGTGTTCAAACAAACACAAACAAAAATTATAAAATAAATGGCTGAAGAAACCACTGAGCCAATGTGTTCTACAGGCAGTAAATACAGGTGCTGCAGCTGTTACTGTGGAGGCTTCCAAACTAGGCCTGCATCAGTCCCCACAAATTCTAGTGGGGGGCACTGATGAGAATTGGTGAGTGAGAAGAGACAATTTACAACAAAAAGAGAAAGGGCAAGGAAAGGACAAGAAAATGGTGAGAAAAACTGGAAGGCACTAATCATGCCTTTGCCACAAATGGTGTAAAGATGTGAAGAATGAAGCAGAGGGAACACAAAGAAATATAATGAGAACAGAGGAAAAAAAAACAAAACAGAAAATGACTAGAAAAATGATGAAAGGAGGGAGGAAAAGAAAGCAGCACTTTTCTGCCTGCTCTTTTCTGTGCTATCCTTCACTAAACAACAGCATTCTTCTGTCCACAATGCAGCATACTGTATGTGCTTCCAGACCCTGGAAACTATCCTCCAGCATTTGTAGCAGCTGCTTTTCCTTAACTGGCAATTCAGGGTTGCATACGTAAGAGTTTTTTTTTTTTCATTACGCTGTTGCAAAAGCAGGCAAAAGACAAGAATAGACATTCTGACCATATAAAGTTTATACATTGCACAATATTTACTAAGGATAGCAGACTATAATTAACACAAATTCCATACTACTGATGTTCACAGTGATCATGAGATCATTTGCAAGATTTTTTTTTTTCCCTTGCCTCTTTATAATCAGTAAGAGTAGTCTCCATGTTCTGTATTACATAAAAAAAAAAAAATCTATCTATTTGCCTCTGGAACGACAAGTCTTGTTTTTGCTAAAGATCCATAGCAGGCAGGTAGCAATAGCATGGGAAGAAAGAGAATAGCACAATAAATGCTGACAGCAGATCCAGAACCACATACAACTACTACAAAACTGTTGATAACTTTTCTTCTTGAAATTCCTTTTCATAAGGATGTAATTTCTGGTGATTTTCAACGCTGCAGTTTGAGCGTCAGCAGGTTAGTGTGAGGATCTGATTAATTATTGCTGGACTTCTCTGCCAAAATAAGCATCAGAGCATGAGGTTTCAATTTAAGAACAGTGTTGGGCTGATAGTTGCTTCTCAGGGAAGATGTATAAATTGCCTATCACCAACTGGAATGGTGTCAACTACATATGAATGGGGCTGATTTGGCTTATCCATACTAGGAGCTAATACGAATTTCATCCAGCCTGGAGGATATCCTATCAGCATAATACAGAGTGCATTGGGGAGCTTCCTAAAAAGTTTTGTTCTCTACAGGTAGTATGAAAAGAGCTCCTAAGATCATTAACCGCATCAATCTGACTTCCCCATGGCCAAAAAATGTGCTGGAAGCAGGTAGTTGAATTCTCTGATACAGATTTCTACTTCAAGTAATTTCAGGTAAAGCTTTAAGTGAAGGTTATTTTGTGTTTCCAACTTTAAGTGAAGATTAGCAAGGGGTGAACAAATCTGTTTCATGTTGTGTTGAAGCTAGATAATGGTGTTTCAGGTATGGGGGAAAATAACTTTTAGCTAAAGGCTTATAGAAAAAATATTGGAAGTGGTACAATCCACAAGATCATCTCTGCCTACCTCTGAATGCTTCTTGTGGCTACGCTGTTTCTGAATCAAACCATACTCTACCTTCCAAACCGCCAAGCAAACAAAAAAACCCCCAATCCCTCCCTAACCCCCGCAACTTGCTGAGCCATGTTGTGCCACTAACTGAAATACTGCATCTCAGAATGGACATGCTTTGGATCCCAAGGAATGTGTTTTCATTTTAGCAGCTAAAATGGCCTGGGCTCAGAAAGCACCTGCTGTCCTTCAGGGAGAGAAGATTTTGCTTTCAAGATTGAAAAGGTCTTCCAGCTCCCTCCAAGCTCTCAGCTGGGATTTCTACACGCAGAAATCACGCACATTTATATGTATAAAATAAACTTTCACATACACATAAACATAGTAAACACCCATAAAGAGATGAAAAGCACTGTATTAACTGTACTAAAATTGACACACATAGCAAGTCAGCAAACTGCTCAGTATGCAAAGAAGAAATGGGTTCAACAGGGGCTCAGCCTTGGCTACAAGAACGCAACTGTACACAAGTCAAATCACTTAAAAAAATATGTGGCCATTTTCTCTGTGTCTGAGTAGGAAGACAATAAATTCTTGCACTTCCATCTAGTACTGTAAGATTCCTTAAAGATTATGGCGTAATCAAGACACTTTAGAAAGAGAACCAATGTAGAAATGCAGTAGGTTCTCCATTTTTTCAATCAATGGAAAGTTTTCTTATAAAAAAAGAAGATATAACAGTCAAAATCCTTACTGCAACTAATAAAAATATTCCTCTTTCTCAAAAAGATTCTGTACTAAGATTACTCATCCCAAACCCTTTGGCTTTCATCCCCACAAGAATAATTTATTAACTTCTCCTTGCCAAACCAATAAGATCCTTGCCTGGAGAAAGTGCCATTAAAAGTAAGCAGAATGCTATTTATAAACAACCTCAAATGGAACCTGTAAGTACAGAACTACCTGCAGATCTAACAAACATCCCTGAACATAAAAAGAAGGCATACCTGAGGTGGACAAGCTTGGAGTACTCAAGCAGAAAACAGTCCTTGAAATACTGCCAGTCTAAATTTGAATCTCCCCTCAACTGAGCATCAAGGTTATTCATACAAAGATTATGTAAGCAACTTCTAATGCTTCTTTACAAGTAATGCTGTGTAGAAACTTAGAATAATCATTATCACTGTTGTTAAAAAGCAATTGGATAGCTTGCTTGTTCTTTTATCTTTCTTTTATAAAATCAAGGCCTTCATAAAGTTGAGTCCAACTGTATCTGTCCACCACTAAACCATGTTTCTAAGCAGCTCATCTACCCGTCTTTTCAACTCGACTCGACCCCTTCCCTGGGCAGCCCTTCCAGTGCTTGACAACCCTTTCGGTGAAGAAAGTCTTCCTAATATCCAACTGAAACCTCCCCTGGTACAACTTGACACCATTTCCCCTGACATCCTATTGCTTGTTACTTGTGAGAAGAGGCAGACCTCCACCTGGCTACCTGCTCCTGTCAGGCAGTTGTAGGGAGCGATAAGGTCTCCCCTCAGCCTCCTCTTCTCCAGGCTGAACACCCTCAGGTCCCTCAGATGCTCCCCATAAGCCTCATGCTCTGGACCCCTCATCAGCTTCCTTGCCCTTCTCTGGACACGCTCCAGCCTCTCCATGTCCTTCTTGGAGTGAGGGGCCCAACACTGACCACAGCATTTGAGGAGTGGCCTCACCAGTGCCCAGTACAGGGGGACGATTGCGTCCCTGGTCCTGCTGGCCACACTGTTCTTGATATAAGCCAGGATACTGTTGGCCCTTTTGGCAACCTGGGCACACTGCTGGCTCATATTCAGCTGGCTGTTGACCAATACCCCCAGATCCCTCTCTGCCAAGCAGCTTTCCAGCCACTCTTCCCCAAGCCTGTAGCGTTGCATGGGGTTGTTGTGATCCAAGTGCAGGACCCATCACTTGGCCTTGTTGAACCTCATACAATTGGCCTTGGCCCATCGATCCAGCCTGTCCAGATCCATCTGTAGAGCCCTTCTCCCTCCAGCATATCAACACTCCCACTCAGCTTAGTGTCATCTGCAAACTTACTGAGGGTGCACTGAATCCCCTCGTCCAGGTCATTGATAAAGACATTAAACAGAACTGGCCCCAACACTGAGCCCTGGGGAACACCACTTGTGACTGGCTGCCATGGGTAATTTTATTTTACCAATAGGTAATAAAAAACCAAAGGCAACAAAAAATCAGTCTTTGTGGGCTCAAAGGTTCAGCCTAGTACACCACCAAGAGAAGGAGAGTGTTTCCTTTCTTGTCAGCTATCTGCAAATGGAGTCGGTGGAGCACTGATGCTTCAAAATACTCCAGATCCTTGTAAAACTTTTGTTTCATTAAAAATTATTAACATTGAATCATAAGAAACAGGTTCTAGTTTGAAGTACCTTTAAAAGTTTGCCATGGATTATTTGATAAAGCTTCTTCAAAGTGAATGTTTCCCACTGTTTCCAATTCCATCAACAAGAATTGTACTACCAAATTAGAAAAATTCTTCATTTCCACTTAGAAATATTTTTAAATTTTGCCTGAAGCAGTATAACAGAAAAAATTAACATAATTTTGATTTTTTTTGAAAATCAACAAATTTAGACTAATTAATGATTACAGAAAGTTTTTTTTTTTTTAAATCTGAAAGATTAGAAATGTGGATATGCTGATCCTAATATGTGGATATACTGGTCCATAATGCCAGGCTTCATCCACTTCACCCTCAGCATTGTTCTGTAATCATTAGCTTATGAGAATCACCTCAAGTAAGAGAAGGTCTTAGTTTGCTATTTAGCGTTCATAATAATGTCAGTCCAAATTATAGCACTAATGAAACCGTGCTGGACTTGGGTGCAGTGTGAGGCACTGGCATGGAATCAGAGGCAAGTAACAGCAACAAATTTCACAGTATGTTTAAATTCTCCCACAGTTGTTCCATCCTTGACATGATCATCAGTCTTTCCTGCTCTTTATTAACAAGCTTTAGAACAGTACTACTTCAGTATACGATGTCCACTCAAATGCAAAATCTAAATGATTTGATTTTGGGGGGCCTGATGCACTACAGACTCTTCATACTATGCTTGTAGATAGAACAGTGTTCATTGGTCTTAGACACAAAACCAAAGCAAGAACCAGCCAGATGAATGGTATGCCTTAGCTGTCCTGCAGAACATCAGACAGAGAACAGACAGCTTTCTACTCATCAGAAGAGAGGCATCCAATTCTTCCTTCATAAAAATTCTGTGGAATGAGCTTCAGACCCATGCTGGCATCCAACTCTAGGCCTATGTCATCACCGACATCCTCCACATGCCCTACTATGAAGGATTCTCTGCGTGTAGACTTCATGCTGGCCATTGATTTTAGAGTGAATTTGACTCATGAAGTCCTAAGATAGAATCGAGAATGACAAGAAAAAGAAGCCATTTAAATCTCATTGGAATTACAGGGGAAAAAAACCCCAACAAACAGAACACCCACCCCCCCATGCCCCCAGCACTTTGCTGGCTCTACTTGTTAAACGCCCAGAAAACTTTTCCAAGCACTGGGCCAATATAAGTACTCATCCCAGCTATTTTTGTTCAATCCTTTCCCTATTTACTGAGATCACCAGTAATGGGAATGGCAGCATCCGTCTACTAGAAGCTGGCATGGATCCAATAATTCACATAAGAACTGCCAATTTAATGGTATTTGCAATACTCCTAGTTTGGACCTTATAAAAAAAAAAAACAACAAATGTGAGACAGGCTTCAAGTCCTGTCCTTAATCTCCTAACCCCCAGCCACCATCATACCCAATTATTAATGTCTGAAAATATCAGAATACCATTCGTGTACAATTCACTGAACATACTCATTCAGTTTTCTGTTCTGGAATGTTATTCTTTCCTCCAGCACATTTATTTTTTGCAAGAATGCCTTTTCAAGACTTATCTTTTCTGTATTTCATTATACCTTAGAGATTTATTACATTTTACCCAACATTTGCAGCTTGGCCAATTCAAGTTCCAGCAGATAAAAAGACCCCACTAGGATTCAGAAGCAAGAGGTTATATTAAAGTACGGCAGGAAAATTATCTTATTTATGTTTCCTCAAAAGATAATCCCTCTAGGTGTATACTGAAAAGCATATCTGAAAACATCAAACCAGAAAATTATTTTAATAAATTCAAACTCTTGATTGTCAATAGAAAAAGCTGAATTACTTGGCCAAAGGAACAACTGTGCTCTGAGCAACTGCACATACTCTTCTGTTGTATACTGGCTCATATCCCAGTCTTATTCATATCAATTAGACCATTGTTTCACCCAGGCAGGACCAATCCCTCAATGTGACTTCATTATGATGCAAGTCTCAGCAATAAAAAGAAAGAGAGTTAGAGGGTATAGTTAATATGGAATTGCAGCTTTGCTTCAGACACCTAAAGGCAGGGATCATTTCTCTTCCCATGTTTGATTACTGTGTGGCATAGTAATTACTCTTTGCTTTGGGGAAGCAAAACTCTTTTTGCATTCTTTTTTAAGAGGTAAATCTTCAGGATCAATCAAGCCATTATACAGCTGAGATTAGGTAAACAAGAGAATAAACTACTCGTTGCTTTTGCATAACAACCATGGATTTGGCTCCCAAGTATAAAACAGCCTTAAAACTCTTCTTAAAGAAAGCAACTTAGCTCGCTCTGCCTACACACCCAATGTGGATATTATTTAAAATATTCATATATGCACTAACTATATAGGCACTTCTGAAAGAGAGGTGAGATGACTGAAGCACATGCTTGTTTCCTAGATACTACCTGATCTACATATGGCAAGCAAAGGAAGAAGATATGACTGTAAAGGCATGAGCCCGCACTGGCGGAGTCCTTGGTCTCTGCACCCTTGATCAAAAGAATCTGTTGACTCTTGATCAAAGTATTTATAAGAGGTATTATTTACATAATCAGCAATATTTTTTCAGTTATATTTGTATAAACATATGTGCAAAGAGCTCACTCAAAGTGCATTAAATACATACTAGGAATGTTTACAAACTGTGGTACAGAAAATCTGTGACAGAGGTCTTTTAATTTTTGAATAACTGCAGTTGCACTGATGCAACTACAGTCTGACTCTGATCCATTATGTTGCTTATATTGTTCTTAAAGGAAGGGGAACAGACTAATCAGTTGGAAATTAGAAAAAAAAAACCACCAGTAACTTTAGAGCTGGATGGAAAAGAGCTTTCTAATCTGCAAAACACAGACCTTTCAGAAATGTTTATAGTACCAGCTAGAATAGACAATAACCATGATAATCTGGGAACTCATCAGGAAGGTCTTCTGCAAACACCTGTACTAGATAAATAAAAGAAGCAACTTGGAACTCAGTTTACCACATTAGATGAGTATCTTATGTAGTCCACTATTCTGGACTGGATCTCTAAGGCTTCCTTCTTGGTGCAGTTCCATTTAAGAGCACCATGGTCAAAGCACTTACCTAAGGCTTGAGACACCAATTTCAAATAATTATGATCCTGGCAGAACTGAAACGGGAAATGGATCCCCTACGACACATTAAGTGTCCTAGAAACTTGGCTGTTGATTATTCTGAAGAATAATTAACACAAACAATGACATCATACATGTAATGTATTATTTTATATTTCCACTCAAAGTGAAGGGGTAGCATTTGGAAGATCTTTTTATTATGGATAAAGATAAACACAGAAAAATTAATAGATTCTTTAGTATCTGTTCAGAAATGCAGGCATGATTTACATTTCCATTTATTACCACACAGGCTTGATTTGGATTTAAACTAAAAGACCTTTATACAAAAGGCAGTGAAAAAAAAATATAACTCTATGCACAAATCCCACTGATACCTATCTTCCATCTTCTTTGACATGGCTACAGCAATGGAAAGGAGTTTCGAGTAAACAAAGATGAGCCTTAGGGAGTTTTGACACAGACTTTGGGATGATCAGGGCTGTGTATATTGGATATGACTCTAAACCATGCAAGTTGGTAAGAAATTTTTATTAGAATGAGAGAAAGATTAAGCCATGTACATAAACCCGTGGTAGTAATCAGAATGCTCATGCTAGAATTGCCAGACTGATATCACCTTCCTATTTTTTCTATTAAGTTTCCAGTAAGGTTGACCTCTTGCAAATTCTGCAGAGTATGTAAGCCCTGTGAATGTTTTAAACAATACAATTTTAATCTAATATAACATTGCAAATGCTGAAGAGCCTGTAGGCTAAGAGGCAGATCATTCAAATGTAAAACCAAATTTGACTGGAGTCTAAACAATGTTAGCCTCTGTTGTAAACTATAGCTTTCTTTTGACATGGAAAGAGAGAATGCATTTTGCCGAAAGGGAATTAGCTTGGAAGGCCTTTGTAAATGATACTGCAATGAAAATAAACCTAGTCCCCCAGCCTTAGTTTCACAGCTGTGCATGAGAAACCTAACAGATCATGCCCCATGTCATGAGTACTCATTAGCTTTTGGCTGCAGCCCATGACTTGGCCTCAGGATATCATGAGAACTAAATCACTGATGTCAATTGTCTCTCCCCAATGATTACTCTGCAGTTCTTTGCAGTGAGATGCCACTACTGTTTGTAGTGTCCTTGCTAATAAATAATAATTTCTGAAAACACTCTACTGCCTTCACACTTGTACTTTGTCAGCTGTCATTTCTTAGACTTCCGTTTCCTTCCCTATCATCATGCCCAGCTTCGATTTCTCTCTCTCTTTTCTATGGCTTTGAAGGTTCACAGCGATCCGGTCTCATTCATCTCTACCAGCATCTCCTTCTGTTCTAACTACTTTTATCTTGGTATCAGTATGTTTTTCATGTATTCCCCCAAGGCAAAATGGGCAGAGCTGCAGCAATTCTGTCTCCCTTTTGGGGTGTGACAAGACAGGTAATTCAGAAAGCTACATGGTCTTTTGCTAGAAATGAACATTTACACATTTCTTCTCCCTTTATATGCCAAACTGCTAATCACAGAGCTCTCACTGGTTTGGGACTAGGCTCCAACTCAAAGGTTAGCATAAAGACTACTAATTTGAGGGGGAAAGGGGAGAAACTAATTTTTCATAGGAGCTAACTTGATATATGACAGCATGAGAAAGAGCCAGGATAAAACTTCTCCTGAACAGGACTTAATCTCTCCAAGTTATAAAAAAATTAAAGAATCCAAACACTAAAATAAAAGTTAAATGGCAAGCCTTTTACATGATACTGAAGTGCAGACAAAAAACTGCAGCTATAAAAAAAACCCCCTAAAAAGATCTTTTCCTCAGCAAGAATCTCAAAGGTCTTTGAAAATAAGTGATTTAGTTAACTCTGCATATGCAGAAAACCTTGACAGCCAATGAGTTCCAAATAATATTTCAGCCTTATTTCTTATAAATCAAGGTTTAAAATTGTCCTTTCTGTTGTTCAATAATTCTAAAAGTTAGCCATACTTATTAGGCACATTTATATACCATACTATTAAAATACCACACATTAGACAATTTTGAAGAAAAGAAATCATAACAAGGACACCAGACTCACCTCTATATTCTTGATCAGGTTATTATTCAATCAAAGTATATTCAGCTTTGTTAGGGCTTCCTGATTTTCAGTCCTGGAAATTTCATTGCAGTAAATATAAAGTTTTTGCAAATATACACAATTTTGTAGACCATCTATTTTCTGCAATAGAAGAAAAGGTATTACTTTTCAGCACTGAACAACAAAATAGCACTCTTTTTTGTCAAGATGCCATTAACTTGCACAGAAAATTGTTAGGTAGTTCGAAATAATTTGAGGCCACACCCTCTCTGCAGAGTTCTGCTGATTTAGAAAGCTTTTCAATTAAGCCAACAAAGAAAAAGTAGTAGCAGCTAGCATGGCTCATGATAAATGATTATGTGTTTTGAAATACAGTTTTATTTTTGTTAAAACGTCTTTGTTCTAACCAGTTTCCTAGAAAAGGTTTCAGTGCAATTATTCTGGTTTTAAAAAATATTGTTTCTAATGAGAAAGAATCCAACAATAGGTTCTAAATTACAAAACCCTGTAATACATAACAGATGCTATTTGATCCATATCTAAAATGGGATTTTTGAATACTTAAGTAAACAAGTGCTAGATCCTGACTCCTTTGAATAGTGCCTTCTTCCTTGAATGGACAAAAGGAGTGTTTGTGAAAGAATGTGATTATCATTGTAAGGGACTGGAAATTGGCTAAAGTTGGCTAGAAAGAAAACTCATAGTTAACTTACCACTAAACAGCATTCAGCAATCCACAGCTCTTTGAGCAACAGGCAGTACTCTAGGTCTGAAATCTTTGGAATACTTTGTCCAGTGGGAATGAGAGTAGCTATATTTGGGAAATAATTCATGCCTACAATTCTGGGATGACCTGAGAAAAACATCTCCAGTGACGTTGTTTTTATACCTCTTAATCAACGTTCTCATAAGACAATCCATTGCATGTATACTGGAAATGAAATGCAATTATTATTCTCTTTTTCTCCATGCTGTAAAAAATACATTATACAGTAGAATGTCTTACTGCCATTACAGTCAATTAGAGATAGCTGCCTAACATCAGTCATGTCTTTTAAAATGTCCTCTGCTACTGCAGATGTAGTAGTTTGCAGATTGCAAAATGTGTTTGCAATTTTGGCCACGTTCAGTATATAGCAGTTAAGTAGCTTGCTTCTGTTCCCAAAGCACATTTGCAAAGTATTACATGAGTGCTTCATATCACACCTCATAATGCACCTTCAATTGAAATAAAAATAATTTTCAGTTATGCTATTTTAATAAAAATTAAAAACTGGAAATCCATAACTTTATCTATAAGCTGGTATATGTATGTGTATACATACACACACACACACACATACAGACATATATATATATATGTATGAGGATAGATGGCGTGCTTTATCAGTCAGTTTTCTACTTCTGGAGTGGTTGCATCAAGTAAATATAAGAGCTTTTGGCCAGGAAAAACAAAAAAGTTGGAATTCATAGAATTTCATTAAGGGTGAGCTTCAGTTTGATATTAGGAGACAAAGCAATAGGTATCCATGTGCGCCTCTTGCCTAAGCTCTCACGTTAGTCAAGCGATTTAACCAATATAGCCAAAGGATCCCAGAAAGCCATTCAGATGACCAGACAGGAGGTATGTACATTACATTAAATTGACTTATTCTATAGGTTCCCTTGACTATATTGACTAAGGATGGGATTCAGAATATCCATTGCAATTTCGGAGACCTCGAAGTATCCTGCAGTAGGGTGCAGTTTTCTGTATATCCTCCTACGTATGTGTGGTGTCTCAGATACCTTGAGGCAAGTAAAATGGCACTAGACAGCTATGTATGTATGCAGCTGAATCCTATCCTTGATCTCCTCTGATAATAATGAGAGCCAAGAAATGAAACACATGTGTAGACAACTACCTGTAGACACCTAAATAAAGGTGTTTTAAAGTGGAGTAGGACTCCATTTTAAAACTCTAACCCGTTCATAGTAGACAAAATTTCCACTCAGTTAATCACCTGATTCTGCTTAGAACTATCCATTGTCTACAAAAATGCAGGACCAAGTCAAAACTCCAAGATGTATTTTGATCAAATTTATATAACAAGCTTATTTCTGTTTATATATATGAATATTTCTGCAGGACACTTCACAGGAAACAAAGTAGGGAATTGTACCTTAAAAGTAATTTACTCTGAAGTTACTCTCTTAACAGACTCTCACTTCTGCATCCTAACTACTAATGTGTTTCCTGCAGTTCTGAAATGTTTGCATCACCACAAACTGTTATTAATGCATGCCCTATACCACCTTTGGAGCATTCCAGAAGGGAGATGACCCTACAGATGGTATATCTAGAGAAGCAAAAATAATTGTATATTCTAGCAAGGATATTTATAGAAGCACTGAGAGGGGAAAAAGAAGTTTAAAACCAAAACCAAATTAATAAATTACCAACTCCATAATTATTTCCTCTGGTTTCTGGTTTTGGTTATCACTTACATCATCTCTTGAGTTCTCTGCAGTGACTATAATTTCTTAATATCTTCTTAGAAAAAAGTACAGCAGCCACCCACATGATTCATCAGTCACAGGATTTCCAAGAAATTTGGAAAGAAGATCTAAATGCCTAACAGATTGAGTTCTAGAATCTGTATTTCTAATGGAATCACAATGGAGATTACAACAGAAGAAAGATGAAATTGCCTGGAATACTTCAATTTACTATATTTTTAATTAACTTTTTTAGATTCTAAAGATCCAGAAAGTAGTATAACATAAATTATTCCAACCACCTCCATAAGGAAGGGTGAGGAATTGCACTCACTTATCTTTTATGGGAGTCAGTATATTTTATTTGCACAAAACATAGAGTAAAACTGAGCAAGTCAGAGCTCATAATTCACCAAAAATCTCAATAAAAGCCTCACTGCATGTATGAAAAAATGTATCAGAATATAATTGAGTATAAAACTTCTGCTACAACTTAAGTAATCACACAGCTGCTACTATTAATCTTTAGCATTAGCAAACATTTACTTGTATGTAGGAGTATGACTTGCATTTTTTTTTCTTTTTGAAAGTGCTTACACTGTATTAACCATAGTATGCACAAACTACACCCTTAATATATCACATCCCTGCTGCTTTTGAATTTCTGCCACAGGATTTAATGACAAACAGCCCCTCTAGCAAGTAATTTAGGACAGGAAACGAAGAATATATTTTTCCATTTACACCAGCTAAGGAAATTACATTAGACCTGAACAAGATTTGGGTGGGTGCCTGCTTCTCTGGGCTCCGTAGGGAAGCTCAGGGAATTGTTCTGCCTGGCCTAGAAGGTGCACGGCTTTGGCAGCATCTCTTCTGGAGCGCTGCCTCCACAGGGAGCTTCTTTATCATACGTTACCATAGGGTAATGCCACCTGTTGGCCCACCACGGCCTGGCCTAGCCGAGGCCTCAGCCTGGGGCTGGGCTGAGCCCTCACGCCGGCGGCGGCGCCGGCCCCCAGGCGGGCGGGTGTGGGGACGGC